ACGTTACGTTACGTTACGTTACGTTACGTTACGTTACTTACGTTACGTTACGTACTACGTACTACGTACGTACGTACTACTACGTACTACTACTACTACTCTCTACTCTCTCTCTCTCTCTCTCTCTCTCTCTCTCTCTCTCTCTCTCTCTCTCTCTCTCTCTCTCTCTCTCTCTCTCTCTCTCTCTCTCTCTCTCTCGTTTAACCTTTGAGTCTCAAATTTCTAGAGGAGTCCAAGCACCTTTTGGTATCTTATTTCCTGATCCAGTTATGGTATCTTATTTCCTGATCCAGTTACTCTGATTCTTTCAGAATGACAGCATATTTCAACAAGAATGGATGGCCTGAAAATGCTCCCAAGTCAGAGGAAGAAAGGAAAGAATTCATTGCGTCTCTTCACAAAAGGAAGACCAAGCTATTCATGGCGCTTATCGAGAAGAAACTGCTTCCTCTCAGACCAGGTGTAGCAAGGTCAATTTCTAATTGAAATTTCACTGCTCTATTATTGTGTTGTATTAGTAAGTATTCAATTGCTTTCTGTTGAAATGAAGTGGTTATCATTATTCTACCATGGTTCAAAATCTAATGTACCTTGTCAGATGTGACTTCCTATTATCATGGCTATTATGGTCACAACATCATCATCATCATCCTCCTCCTCCTCATCATCATCATCATTATTATTGATCTTATATATATTATTCAGTGTGCTGGGGCCAGGGGACTTGCTCCTGGCCGAGGCAAGTTACTAGTCCTGAGGACTTGGCAGAGTCCAGCATTGGGCCTTTCGGCCTTAAAAGAATAAAAAGAAAATAGGCAAAAATTGAAAAACATGCAGTAAAAGTAAATTGAAACATAGAACAACTTTAATAAGTTAAAACAAGCATAAAAAATGGATTTAGAAAAAATTGAATTACAGTTTGGGACATTTTAAAAGGAAAAATATACAATGAGATCATTTATCTTTGGTACAAGGTGATCACAATTAATCTTGACTATTGGATGTGAAATTGGATGGCTGCGTTTATTCCATTGATCAAGCTTAAACTTCAAAAGAAATTTTCTTGAACTTTGTAACATGCCCAAGCTATCAGATTTCACATTGGATTATTGTAAGTAATTGCAACCTCCTTGTATTAAGGGTTAATAGTCTCATTGTATACAATCCCTTCTAATAAATTCAAAAAAAGGGAAAATATAAAAATAATGATTATGGAAAATAATGCTCACCTATATTTGCGAAATATATATAAATCATGTACAAAAAGATTATACAATCCAGCACTTTTTAAAAAAAATTAGAACTCTTTTGAAATTTCTTTTAAATCCTCGAGTTGTGCACCCAATTTGGGGAAACTCAGCTTGTCCCACATCAAACAAGTATCCTTATCCCTCTACTCGCAATATAGGAAATTTTGTGTCTATTAAATTGAAAGAGAACAACTATTTGTTATGGGAAACCCAAATTGTGTCTTTGATTGTAGTTAGGCTTTTGGATTCATTAATAGTGATTGCCCTACACCAAGTCAAAAGATTTACTCTCTTGATGGTAAGAGTGAAATCGAAAACCCTGGCTACAACTCATGGCTAAAGTCCCACCGGCTTCTTAAAGTCTGGATCACATGGACATTTTCAAAAGAGTGTCTCAGCCTTGTTGTTGGCCTCAGGACTTCTGCAGATGTTTGGAAATGCCTTAAGAATGCCTTTGCAGGTAATTCTCAAGCTGGGGAGTTCCGACTTACCCAGCAACTCCAACTTTGCAAGAAAGGGAATTCAACCTTATCAGAATATATATGCAAATTCAAGAATACTTGTGATGATTTGGCAGCCATTGGAAAACCTGTACCATGAAAATAAGGTATTTTGGCTTCTTAATGGACTTGGTCCAAAATATGAGATTTTTGCTACCACTATGCTTAAACCTCCTTCACATATTGAAATTATACCTCTTCTTCAAAGCCATGAGATTAGAAATCAGCCCCATGTCCTTAAAGAACACTTAGATCCAAATCGGAATATGGCTTTTGTTGGACAACAAAAATATTTTGTGCCCAACAAAGGGAACCGAAATTATAGAGGTAAAGGAAGAAACAACTTTGATGGTCAACAATTCTTCAACTCTTGAGGATGTGGGTTTGTTCAAACTAGCCAGATCAATATTGTTGGTTGTGGGATGCCCAAGAAAAATCAAGAAAGTGGTGTTAGACTTCTTATGGGACACATGGATCAAGGCTTCCAACAAGATTATCAGATACAACAGTCATCACAAACACCTCGAGAAAAGTGTCCAATTTGTGGGAAATTTGGACATAGTGTATTGAAGTGTTTGCATCGATTCAACCAAACCTAGCAAGCAGAAGATACTCCTCAAGCCCTTGCTTCAATGACTATAGTTGATTCACAAGACTCAGAATGGTTCCCGGACACAGGTACCTCCACTCATATGACAGGAGATCCAGGTAAGTTGCAAAATCTTCGCCCCTATAGTGGTACAGATATGATTCTGGTTGGGAATGGTGAATAATTAACTATTTCACATGTTGGTGATACAAATATTTGATATTGGGTCTGAAAAATTCAATGTTTCTAATATTCTTTTGGTACTTGAAATGAAAAAGAACTTGTTATCTGTTAGTCAATTTACAATAAATTTTCCTTGTATTTTTTAGTTCTCGTCAAATGGTTTTCTGAGTAAGGAAAGGAATACAGGGAGAACTCTGGCCAATGAGAGTAGAAAGGGAGGATTGTATACACTTGAAGAAGTGAAACAAGTTTTATTATCTAATCAGAATAGAAGAACATCAGAAGATGTGTGGCATCAACATCTTGGACATCCTCAAAATAAAGTTGTTCGTTATTTAGAATCTAAACAATTGATTAATGTTGATGCATGGAATAAATCTTATTCTATCTGTGCTAAATGTCAGATGGAAAAAAATTGTAAGCTTCATTTTAGTGGTACTAGTAAAACATCTACTCAACCTCTCTTTAGGATCCATTCAGATTTATGGGGCCCTGCTCCAATTTTATCTAAGCAGAGTTATCGATTTTATGTGGTGTTTGTTGATGATTATACTCATTTTACTTGGATTTATCCTTTGAAACAAAAATCTGAATTTTTCGTTGCATTTATGAAATTTCATAGTGTGGTTGAAAGGAGATTTGATAAAAGAATTTGATTTTTTCAATGTGATAGAGGTGTTGAATTTGCTAACAAAGAATTTATTTATCATCTTAATGACAATGGAATCATGCAACAATTATCATGTCCGGGAACCCCTAAGCAAAATGGAATAGCTGAAAGGAAACATAGAAATATTGTCGAATTGGACGTTACAATGATGTTTCATGCATGAATTCCTAAATGTTTTTGGGTTGATGCCTTTCATACTGTAGTTTTTTTTATCAATAGAATTCCCTCTACCAATTTAACAATGGATTCACCATATTCACTATTGTTTGGGTGCTTACCAGACTACTCATCACTTTAAGTATTTGATTGTTGGTATTTTCCATATCTTCGAGACTATGCTACAAACAAATTTAGTCCCTGTTCTCTTCCTTGTGTATTCTTGCGCTATAGTATCCAGCATAAGGGCTACAGATGTCTTCATCCACACACAGGACGAGTCTATATTTCTAGACATGTTGTATTTGATGAATTCTTTGTTTGATAGTGCTCAGGTTCAGGGGGAGCTATCCACTTATGCAGAATGGTCAGAGTGCTATGAACCTGACATACGGACTCCTTCCTCTTCTGATTCATCACCTCTACATAGACCACCCATACAGGACATCCTTGATGTATCTGGTCCCTTGGGACCTACTTTTCCCATCAACAATGATAGCTTTTGAACTTCACCTATAGAAAAAGATATCACCACAACTGTAATACAAGATGTCCAGGATGATACAACACCCAATCATGGTGTTGAAAATGTTGTCACGCAAGAAACCAACCAATATAATTTTTTACCAACCCCTGAGCATCATCGTCATCACATGGTTACAAGAACTCAAGATGGTACTCGAAGACCTCGAGTTCTCCAATCCATGGCAGCAATCTCAAGTGCTTATATTGTTGAAGCTATCCCTTCTGAACTTAAATCCATTAAGTCTGCCTTGGGTCATCCAGGTTGATATTATGCAATGGAAGAGGAAATTGAAGCCCTACATGTTAATTCAACTTGGGAGCTAGTTCCACATCTTCCAGGTATGAATGTTGTTGGTTGTCGTTGGATCTATAAAACTAAATTAAAGTTTGATGGCAGCCTTGAGAGACTTAAGGCCAGATTAGGAGCTAAAGGATATAATCAAGTTGCTGGAATCGATTTCTCTGAAACATTCAGTCCTTTATTAACCCTGCTAGTATTCAGATTGTGTTCCCCATAGCTACTGTGTGCCACTGGCCTATTAGACAACTTGATGTGAAAAATGCTTTCCTGCATGGATTTCTTAAAGCACCTGTATTTATAGAGCAACCTCCTGGATTTGTGAGCTCAAAATATCCAACTCATGTCTACAAATTAAAAAGAGCTTTATATAGTCTCAAGCAAGCACCTTGGATCTGGTTGGATCGATTTAGTGCATATTTATTATCATTGGGGTTTTATTGCAACATCGCTAATTCATCTCTATTTGTTTCTCCCACTACTCAAGGCACTATTATCCTTTTCTTTTATGTTGATGATATCTTTGTTACTAGTGACAATTCAGATATTCTAGAATGGTTCATTTCCCAACTTGGAAGGGAATTTACAATGAAAGATCTTGGACCTCTTCACTACTTTCTTGGTATAGAGGTATCTCATATTTTAAATGGGATTTTTCTCTCACAAAGCAAATATGCAAGGGATCTTCTTGATCGTGCTCAGATGCTCGGTGCCAAACCTATTTCAACACCAATGGCAATGAAAGATACTATTCATGGGAATTCTGATTTGTTTCCTAATCCATCTCTTTATCGAAGTATTGTTGGTGCCCTTCAATATATTACCATGACGCGGTCAGACCTTTCTCATTGTGTTAATACAGTGTGTCAATTTATGCATGCCCCTACAATGGGAAATTTTCAAGCAGTTAAACGGATTCTTCATTATCTCAATGGTACACAATCATATGGTATAAGAATCTTATCTGCTAGTTCCCTTGAGTTATATACCTTCTCTGATGCTAACTGGACTGGATGTCCAACCACTGGTTTCTACACTTATCTTGGTTTCAACTGCATATCTTGGAGTGCTAAGAAACAGTCGACTGTGGCTCGTTCTAGTGCAGAAGCGAAATACCGTTCTATGACATCTACTGCTGCAGAATTGACATGGCTTTCTTTTATTCTTCAGGATAGTGGGTTGCCTCTTCCTTAACGGCCATCATTGTTTTGTGATAATATTAGTGCTCCCTACATGACAGTTAATTCTGTTTTTCATGCACGAACAAAGTACATTGAGTTAGACTATCATTTTGTGCGTGAAAATGTTGCTCTTGGATTACTTATCACTCGATTTGTTTCTTCTCACAATCAAATAGCTGATATCTTCACCAAGCCTTTGCCACGAGATGTTTTTCGAGATCTTTGCTTCAAACTCGGACTTCAAATGCCTCCCCAGCCGAGTTTGAGGGGGAGTAATAGAAACAAAATATTACCAGTGTAGAATGTAATAGGACAAGAAAGTGCATATTGCCATGGTAGAAGATAGAAAAGTGCATATTGCCATGTAGAAGATAAAAAAGTGTATATTGCATTTAACAAGATAGGAAAGTGAATACTACACCATTGCATTATCATTATATATACAATGAAAGAACCACCACAAACTGTGTGGGGCATAATTATTTTCTCAAAGAGTTCCTCTCTCTCTAAAATTCTTTAGAATGTACTCTAAAGAGAACTTTCTCTAATGAATTAATGCAGGTTGATAGATGAGGCCCTAGAGAAAGGAGTCAAAGTCGCTGTTTGCAGCACGTCTAATGAAAAGGCGGTAGGCATAATCAGGTCTCTTTGTGACTTTTGATCTGTTTACATTATTCACATTGCATGTCGTAACAAGAGTGTCAAGAGTACTTGCTGAAAACATACATTAATGAAAAACCTAAATGTATACTATTAGGCTAGGGGGGCATCAGATTTCATGGTTTAACTTCTAAATGTATACTTATTTATATGAATTCATAAAAATGCACACATATACATGACTAAAGATGGTTTGCAAAACAAACCCCACTAGCTAGGTGTTCAGGCTGTGAGCTAACTTGTACAGCTTTAGCTCATGGACTTCACCAAATATTTTCCCTATACAGGTACATGCTAATATGTGCATAAATGCATGCACACTGGTAGCTTACGATGGGTTACAATATGGACTGGGCGTACAAATGTTCGCTAATTCTCCCTGTCCCAAAGACATTCCCTAGGTGTTCATGTTTTGGCTTCCATATCATGTTGTTATATTTTGGTGCAATAACATACCCCAAATCTAGCACTGTTTGTGTACCTTTTGAAAACATGATCAGTTCAATCTGAAACTATCAAACTTGATATGGGTATTGAATGTAGCATTCTAGGAATAATATAATACCTGTGTAAAATCCCTTAATCCGCTGACGGTATTCAAGTACAATTACTGCCCGTCACGAACTTACAAATTTTCCTTGAATTCCTTCCACAACTGTGATTTTCGAGCCTCAAGCTTTACCCATGAACTGATGTGCTCTATATGCTTTTCATCATCATCACCATCATCATCATCATCAAAGCCTTTTCTTAATTATTTGGGGTCGGCTACATAAATTATGTCCATCATTCTGCTCTATCAAGGGTCATACCCTCCATAAGTCCCCATATCTTTTCTCACTACTTCCGACCATGTCTTTTTGGGCCTATCCCTTGCCCTTTTTGAGCCTTCCACTTGAACCAATTGCGCTAACGGGTGTTGTACTGGGTCTGATATATGCTATTGGTGAGTACAATTGCAAGGATGTGACAGTTTACACATGAAACAAACAAGCCCAAACTATCCACTTGATTTGTAATTATTTTTTAGTATTAGTTGAATTAGATACTTATCCCAGATTGTTCCTCTTATTGCCATGAACAAAATCCGTTGCACTTTTAGATATATATTCTTATATATGTATATGCATGGCTTTGTATGCATAAACTCAATGCATCTTTGATATGTAGAGTGATAGAACAATGAACAATAACCAGGAATGTTAGTCATCTATCTAATTATTGCACCTCTATTGAATTTTAATTGAGGTGGCATACAATATTGGTGCAAAAGTGTAGCCAGAGTAGTTTCTAGAAGATCGGCAATGTCTGACTTTTATCACATTGCCTTTCAATCATTGACATCTATATGTACATAGGATTAATTATTAAAGATGCATGACTATGCATTTTGCCCTTTTTTACAAGATCTTGGACTTTATTATTCATTAAAATGTCTCAAATGGAACTCTTAATTTTGACTTGGCTAGTTCTCAACCTTGGTAGAGTGTCTACATTGATTTTTATGCGTATGAATCCTGCATAGAAGTGACAAATTATAGTTGTTTCTCTCGTTAGAGTTCATTAGTAATCTCTTATTAAAGTATATACTAACATCGTGACAAATGCTATCATATCTGTTTATAAATGTTTTCATTGAAATGCATCAAGTTTCTGACAGTCGGAATTAACATCTGCTTTATAGGTCTCTGCTATTGTTTCTTGCTTGTTGGGCCCTAAGAGAGCAGAGGTGATTTCAATTTTTGCAGGAGATGTGGTTCCTCGGAAAAAGCCAGACCCAGTATGCATCCTCTGTTGTTTATGTCATATTACTTTCATGGGATGTTAATTTTATGTCATTTCAAAACCAAAATCCATGAAATCCATCCTCATTGTTGTTCCTAATTTTGTTTCACGGACTTTTTTATTTTCAGAATATTGTGAGAGTGATTGATAACTTTTATAAATTCCAGTGTTCGAAAACTCGAACTCTGTGGCCAGCTGACTCCCTACCAAAACTTAGTCAACTTGCCCAGTTAAACAATCACCTCAGAAAATCTTGGGCCACTTTCTTCTTTTTTTTTCTTTTTTTTCTTTTTTTTTTTTTAAGAGTTTCTGGAAGCAACACGAAGTGTCCTGGTGGGGTTCAAGCACTCATACACTGAGTCAAAAGACGGCTGCTACCAACTCCAAAGTGCAATCTTATATGTTAATATTACACTAAAATTTATATGTAACCAAATACTTGGGCACACCTAATTTTTTTCATTTGTAGAACTCATTCACTAGATGAGATGGGTTGACTGGGTCCCAAGTGAAATATGAGTTTTTATTCGGTGGTAAAAACAATAACTTTTGAAGCCGAAGAAACTTCAGCTAAAACTTGATTTGGACCCTATTTAAACTCACCCATTACCAGCCGGACTTTAACTTTCCTACATTTCTTTGGAGTTGCGGATTTTACTGATAGGCCCCATTTAATTATTATTTCCCTTGAAGCTTCATATGCATGTTTATGTGCTTTTTTAATTTTAGTTAAAACTGATATTAAGTTTCTCGATAGGCCATTTACTTGCTAGCAGCGAGCACGTTGGGAGTTCAGCCATCAAGGTATGGTACAAGGCTTGAAGGAACGAGTGAACTTATCGTAGGAATTTGAAATGTGACCAGATACTAGTCTTAATGCCACCTAATGATTTCTCTTTGGAATTGATTTCTATAATATGCACAGGTGTGTTGTGGTAGAGGATAGTGCCATTGGCCTTGCAGCTGCAAAGGCAGCTGGAATGAAATGCATAGTTACAAAGAGTGGGTGAGTTCAAAATTTCTTCTTCAGAAAAGTTCCAGTTTATTATTAGCGGTGATAAAAAAATTGAGAAGAAAGAAAAATATGGTAGTGATAAATAAAGAAAAGATATGGTAATGATAAATAAAGAAAAGAAAATAGAAGCGTCTCCTCTTCAGTACTTTATGAACCATTATTTTCTTTGGATGATCTCATGATGTTTTTCGTGTTTTAGACCATGCAAACCTTTTTCATGGCATTATATGCAACTATTCAAGAACAGCACTCTAAATTTTGACAATCAGTTTAACTGTGTGCGCGAAAGTACTTATGTGCATGCTGAATAGAGTTAGAAACCATACACCAAACAATTATTCAACAGAGTTACATTAGCTTCTCTATTTTTCAGTTTGGGAAAGTAGACTATACACAAGCTATATACATAAAATATAACCAATGTATGAGTGCTTTGATTGGATATCATCAACATCCTGCCTCTCCGATTGGATGCTATCTTTTCCGGAATACTTATTTAATCCAGTGAGATCCAATTGGTGTGTGCTTCTTAATACATGGGTTGTATGCTTCTTAATACATGGGTTATGTATAATGTACTCTCCCTCGTGGGTTTTTCTTTACTGTCTTGATGTAGATAGGTTCAGGTCGGTCTTTTGTTTTACTCCTGATTCTACTTTTTTACTAGTATCTGCAACCCAGACTTTCTATATGTCAAAGTAATATTTTTGTTTGATTTTTATTACTTAGGTACACAGCGGAGGAAGACTTTTTATCTGCAGATGCAGTGTTCGATTGTATCGGAGATCCTCCTGAGAAGCGCTTTGACATTGGTTTCTGTGCAGAGCTTCTAGAGAAGCAGTTCGTAAGTTAGAGAGAGAGAGAGAGCCCATTGCCTTTTTTTTTTTTTAAATCATAGCCATATTTACAAATTTAGATCTACTGTAAAAGATGGGTCATTTAGATCTACTTTAAAAGATGTGTCCTTTAATAGAATGATTTATTGGTGGTTCTCAGTGATAAGCATACTTAGCAATCTTCTCTTGTGAATGTGGAACCGTGAACTTCGTGGAATTGCCTCCTCTTGTTTTGACAGTAATGAAAGTATCCGATTCAATGTCTTTTTTTTTTGTTCCTCTCTTTTTTAATTGTAAGTATCCATTCAATGTGTTTAAATAAAATTGGAGGAAGAACCTGGTTGGGAGCTTTAAAGAATGACCCTGTTTCAACTGGTTGGGGAGGATTATTTGTATGAAATTGGCAGCTGATACAGATTGGGAGTTCACCTTTCACACCAATCGGTCAAGTTTTATGGTAAATTTTTCTGCCATGGACCAATTGGTGTGAAAAATATTCGGTGCCTAATCACATGGGGGAGTTCTTTCATATGAAAATGTTTTAACGAAAAAAAAATCATCTGAACCAAACGTGCCCTTAGTGTACATATATTTGGAACATAAGATGACAAACAAGGAAAAGTATGAGTATATTTGGAAAATAAGATGGAGAATAAGTAGAAGTGTGAGTTTTCAATTCTCTTCGTCACTTATTTTGCTCTCTAAATTTTGTGAGATATTTACCTCTAACTCCAAATAGTTCGGAAAAGACTTTGTGATGATGATGATATTTTCCTCCCTCTCAATTTTAAAAGGAGGAATCCTGCCAAAAATATGACTTGCAGTAAGATCAACTTTTTCTTAGCATCACTCCAGTTTTGCCTAATCTGGATCTACGATCAATTAAAACAGAAGCTTTTTATCTCAACAAATAAATGTACAGAAGTTATAAAATCTTTGAAATTTAAGAAATAAAATCAAACGGAGGAGATTCCATAAACGAATGGGCGTATAACTACACTACAAGCTAAGCGCCAAAACACATGCTAGAGGTTTTTTGGGGCTAATTTTTTTTGCATCATCTATTATTTGAAAAATAAAATGGAGAATTTTTTGGTACGTCCAAGTTTGCACTTGTTACTACATAGGAATGGCGACCTGCACTATCCACCAAAGGAAGTGTAGATCTACACCATAAATAATAGTCCTCCAAAAAAAATGTAAAATCAATGGTTCAAATATTTTCTCTAAAAAATATCATTTGTGTTTTTTAAAATTTATTTATTTTTGCAGATTAATAATATGCATGTTAAAAATTATATATTATTTAAAAAATAGGATTAAAGTCTATTTAAAAAATAAATTATTAAGGGGCCCGCATTTCTACATGTGAGTCCATGGACTCATAGAAACTGTTTTTGTTTTTTATATATATAAAAAATCCGCTTTTGAGTTCTTGAATACCTAAATCCACCATTCCCTAATGCACGACATATGTCAAATCAAAAAAAGGGGTTGTATACAATTAAATGATTTATCTTTGATACTAAGTGGTCACAATTCCTTATAATCATTTGATGTTAAATTTGATAGCTTGAATGTGCTACAAAGTTCGAAAATTGTTTTTTGAACTTTGAGCTTGATCAATGGAATTGCAGCCACCCAATTTCACATCCAATGGTCAAGACTAATGTGACCACCTTATATCAAATGGTCTCATTCTATACTTTCCCCAAAAAAAAGCGCATCTCATATTTTCCTCTTTTTTTTTGTGGAAACTCTTTTTTTTTTTAAGAAAAATAGTTTGATAAGGCAACATCCCTACCAAAATAAGTAAAGCCTTGCCTCATAATTCATCAAAAATTGCAATTTAAGTATTGAAAAACCTTTAAATTGTTCATTTCAGTTTGAACATTATGGTTGTGTAAAAAAGTAAGATTTTAAATTCAAAAAATAATATATATTTTGACAAATCATCTAGACCATCCATTTTTCCTAAAAATAGTTGTTTGCTGATCAGCAAGATCAGTACAATTTTTTGAGTTTCAAATTTTATTATCTGTGTTGGGAATTAATTTTAAAGTCATAATAAAAATTTTCGATGCTAAAAATGCTTTCTGAATCAGGATTTGAGGTAAGGCTTTATTTTGTTTCTGTGAAGGCGGGGCCCTATAGAAACTTCAAGCTTTTTTTTTTACGGCCTTTATGGGATTTCCATGGACAAGTTTTGGGGTCCAACGGACTCGTACGTTTTGAAGAAGCTCACATGACTCATGTAATCTCTTTTCAAAGTTAAATATGAAAACTAAGTAAAATTAATCATTAAAATATCGAAAAATTACCAATAAAAAAAATTGACTAAAAATGCAAATAGAAGAGTTAAAATATAGCTTTTTACTAAAAGTAGATATTTTAAAAGGGGAAAAGGTTCTTATGTTTCCCCTACAACATAGAAGTTCTATCTTCTCCTTACCATCCAGCCGTCCAATTTTGATCGGGAAAGCCACTCACCATTTATTCTTAGATCCAATGTTTCAAAGTATTTTATTTTGAATTTTTTTATACAAATTGTATGAATATGAAATTTGGTACGTGCTATCAAAGTATTTTATTTTGAATTTTTTTATACAAATTGTATGAATATGAAATTTGGTACGTGCTATTTTGTCATTGGGACGCACCTATAAAAAATATGAAAAATAATTTTTTGATAAAATATAATGACCAAAATACCCCTTGAATCTTTCAGAGGTATTTTGGTCATTTTATTTTACTATATATTTTCTTTTTATATTTTTCGATAGTACGAGTTTAATAGAGGAATGGACGTCCAAAATTTGGTGCTAAAATAGTTTATAGAAAAAAAATTAAAAATAAAATAATACAAGGACGTGATATTGTGATTGGAACAATCTTAACCGTCCATTCAGAATGGAGGGTTGGTTAAGGGAGAGGATAGAACTTCTATGCTGAAGATGAAGCATAGAAAGCTTGCCGTTTTAAAAGTGTTTTTCGTGGACAGTAGACCATCATGTAACAGCATTAGATAGTGGGAAGAGAGATATAGAGTTCTAAGCCATGTTTAAAGCCAATGATCTATCTGTCGTCGGCTTTCTGCAAGAAAAAATTGGAAAATTTATTCATGAGTCACGGGCGCAAGAACCGCTACAATAAATATAGATGGTGTAGAAATATCCCTAAGTTGATTTTTTTACTATTATATTCATGATCATCTTAGTCTAGATCATGAATCTTTAAAATTTTGGATGAAAAAATGGATTTGAGACGGGCCTGCATATGTACAATATAAGTTGGTTGACTCATAGAAACCCTATTGAAAATCTTTACCTAGCCCAGAATAATCTCTAGAATTTGATGGCTCCTACTTGTCTTGCTCCACCTTCTTTTTTTCTTTTGAACTAGAATTTAGTTATTTTTTATGGGGAAAATATCTTCATGCCCTTTAGTTTTAGTTTTCACTCAAAAATGCAAAATATATCTCCGAACCCCCTCCCCCCCCGACTAACTTTACTCACTTTTAACTATTTTTTAGCCCTAACAAATATAAAAAAGACAAAGTCATTCTAAACCATTCATCTCTTTATGTGATATATTCCCCTCAAATTTATCTCTCTTTAATATTCACCCTCTTTGTCTCTCTAATGGGGGCGAAAAAGAGAGCGTGAGAGACACTGGGGAGAGAAAGTGAAAAAATAGGTAGACAGAGATTTAGGAGAAAATCACGTGAAGAGAGACAAATGATGGTGTTTAGAAAAGATATGTCCTTTTTCTATTTGTTTGGAGCAAAAACATAGGCTTAAAGTGGATAAAGTTAGCTTAAAAGGTTAAAAGATATAAAATTTAAAATTTTTATGACTCAAGATATGTTTTGAAATATTGAGTTTATTGAGATATAAAACTTAAAAATGGGGTTATAGAGATATTTTCTTTTTAATTTATATCTTATTATCTATTTGAATTGTCGGCCTCACCTGCTCTCCATTAATTTAGCATAGAGATTTTTTGTTTTGAGCTGGATCATTTCTTCTGGAAAATTTCGGCATCTTTTTTTCTATGAAGTATTAGGAGTGGTAACCTATTCCCTAACATGTTCTACTTTAATTTGTATGGGAATGTTGACAAAACCCAAAATTTTAAAAAACAATAAGAAACATCATTAAAACTAGGAAAAAAGATATGTAATAGTTTATAATTAATTCCGCCGTTGCTTTTGATTTAAGTACTAAAATCTACCCTATTTTTCTTAATAAAAGTTGTGAATTCAAGTATCAAAATTCTAGTATTCTACTAATATAAATTGAGATTTGGTAGAAAAATGTGTTTGATTTTAGCCTAACCTAATGTCTCTTACCTTTAATAAGAAAAATACAAAGTTTTTATTGAAGGTGAAAGACATCGGGCCATTTACAGGTTAATAAGGACAACATACAGTTCTTATTAAAGGTTAAAGATATTGAGTCTTGTAAAGGGTTAAAGAACCAGAAACCCAATATTTCTCACTTTCAATAAGAAAAAACGAAAAAACAAAGTTCACATTAATCGTGAGAGATGTTGGGTCATTTAATTCCTTATTGTATTGAAAATTTTTCCTCCAACAAAAGCAAAATGAAGTTTATCCCATGAAAAATGGATAAGCGAGAATCAAAGAGATAAAGATGGGAAGGCTTTATCCCAAATCGGGAATATAGCCAAGAACAGGGACCTAAAACACTACAAATAAGTCTCATATCTGTCTTATTGTGTGGCTTTTACCCCATGTGTTAGAGTAGTGGGGCCAAGTAAATAAAAAAAAGTGAAAATTAAAATTTGAAATCAAAATAAATAAGATGTGGCCGGGTTCACTTGCTCTTTCTAAATCACCGATTTTTCAAACCTTGGTCCTTGGAGAATCGGAATGGCTCTTTTCAAATCACCGATTTTTCGAACCTTGATCTAATCTATCATCAAAGCTTCAAGGGTTTTTAGTCATACTTTGTCTAATCTATCTCAAGGGTTTTAGTCATTATATTTGTAATAAAAATTCGTTTGGGAAAAATGGCTCTTCCAAATCACCGATTTTTCGAGCCTTGGTCTAATCTATCATCAAAGTTTCATGGTTTTTTAATCATTATATTTGCATTAAAAAATTGTTTTAATATTTAGGTGGGGCACGTAACGCATTTCATATTGGACCGCTAGATGGGGGAAGCATGTATCTCCTAGGTAGTAGGAAATGAATATTTTAGTTAGGGTACGTTTCGTATCGAGCAGAGGCTCTAAATAATCAAATTAGAGCCCACCTTCAAATAGTATCGAGAAATGTAGTTTTAATATTGAAAATATTTGTGATAGTCTTAAAATATATTTTTATCTTTAATTATAAAATTTAAAGTTTCAAAAATAGTGTAGATCAAACATATCTAAAAACACTTGAAAATTGACTGTTAAAAAATACGTTACAAGATGTACTATTTTCAAATTTTGAAATCTTATTTTTTTCTTATGTACATGCATCTTGATGTCGAGATGATCAATCTAAAGATATTTGGGCATCAAAACAACACCTTCTAAGAAAAATTTTGATGTAGGTTCTGATTTGATTGTTTAGAGCCTCGGCTTTATATAAACTTTCCTTTTTAGTTAAGGGTGCGGTTTGTATAGAGCCTAGACTCTAAACGATCAAATTAAAGCCTACTTTCAAATAGTGTTACCAAATGTGATTTCAACGGTCATTGTAACTTAAACGGACTTAAAAAAAATTTTACATCTATTTTAGAAGTGGAAGTTTGGTAAGCAAGCGACCTCAAGGTATCGGGTGAACCGGCCGATCCACAAAAAGAGTGTCCCACAAGCAATATGCAGATATGTATGTAGGTATTCAGGATCATAAAATCGGGTGAGCTGCCCCAACGGCCCCTGCCCACTTTTTAAGGAGGATGAAAGGGACACAATTCAAACGCCCATCTCCCCCTCATGAATGAATGATACATCATTCATAACTCATCTCACTGCCACCCACCAAATCTAATATCCACCTCTCCCATTTTTTTTTCAAATCCATCTATCTATTTAATGTATATATATGATATCTCAAATTAATTTATTTATAGAAATAGGTTATATAAGATTACACCTTTATATTATTGAAGCAAGATGCACTCCAAAAATCTTATAGAAAAGAGTGTTGTGGTGTTGGGAAACTCTCAAATTAATCATCTCAGGTATAGAAACGAAAAAAAATGAGTTACAAGTCCAAAAAAGAATATATTTTATAACAAGTTATCAGGACAATCTGTTTTTTTTAAATTTCGAGTATTTATTGATTTGTTCGATCTACTATTTTTAAAAAAAAATTAAATTTTTTAATTAGGGATAAAAATAATTTTTCAACCTATTATAACATTTATGACAGTAGAACAACAATATCCCTGAGCACATTTTAGAGGCCTACCGCATTTCTATTGTGCAAGAAGGCAATTTTATACAAACCTCACCCTATATTTATCAAACATTGACAAATTTCCTAATCCATCCATGCGAAATCCCGTCTCACTCAAAACTCTCTCTCAACAAAATACCTAATTTCATTATTATTATCATTTAGTTTCTTTAACAGCTTAGGTTTTGTTTTATTCGTTTTATTGTATCCACTAACTTCATATTCTTACATGTAAAACATTCACACATGTCATGCGGCTAGACAAATCCTATTATCTCTCAAATTACCTTCTTTCACAGTAAATAATGGCGTATCAAGTAAGGGTAAGCTTTCTACGCTTCCCCTAAAGCATAAAAGTTCTATCATTCCCTTTATTCAATCGTCCATTTTGAACGGATGGCTAAGAATGCCCCAATCACAATGTCACGTTTCTACACTATTTTTTTTTTTTAACTATTTTGATACCAAAGTTTAGATGTTCATTCCTCTATTAAACTCATACTAGCGGGGGGGGGGGGGGGAAATTCAATAAAAAAAAATGACAAAAATACTCCTAAAAGTTTCAAAAGATGTTTTGGTAATTATAGTTTATCGAAAAATTATTTTTAATACGTGCGTCCCAATGAGAAGATGGCACGTACCAAATTTCATATTCATATAATTTGTACAAAAAAAACTAAAAATAAAATACTTTGAGACGTCGGATCTAAGATCAAATGATGAGTGGTTCATTTGATCAAAATTGAATCGCTGGATAATAAAGGGAGGATAGAAATGTAGAGGAAGTATAGAAACATTTATCCTCATTTAAATCTCTCTTAAAAATTAGTTATATGTTGTTAGAGTGATGATCTTACAAGATTTTTCTAGACTCGATTGTATAAGACCTTAAATTTACCACAGATTTTAACAAAGTTATCACAAGAGTGTGAGACTTGATTTTTCTATATATCTATACCAAATTTAATTTTTTTGAGTCCTAGGGTCCTGAACACATGGGTGTCTCTCAATATATCTCTCTCAACAGTCCTAACTAAGTATCCACTCAATTAACTCTCTCTCTCTCTCTTAAAAATTAGTTAAATGTTGATATGTGTCTCTCTCAACCGTCCTAAATAACTATCCACTTGTTGTGTTCTGATTAACACTTGTCCAGCTTTAAGTTCTCTCTACCCTCTCCTTCTCTGTCTTTTGGTGAATCTCTCCCCCTAAGCATGGATTTCTCTGCCATCTCCTCATGTATGCAACAGGCCCACAACCAGCCATGGTGGGTAATTCTCATTGGAGCTCTAGGCCTTCTCTCTCTCCTGAAAAAATCACTCTCTCTCCTCAACTGGGTATGGGTTACTTTTCTTAGACCTGCAAAAAACCTCAGGAAATATGGGTCTTGGGCTTTGATTACGGGCCCAACTGATGGTATAGGCAAAGGCTTCGCCTTTCAATTAGCTCGAAAGGGGCTCAACCTGGTTCTCGTAGGAAGAAGCCCATCAAAGCTCAAAGAGGTATCTGATGGAATTCACAGTAAATGTGGTGAGAAAGTTCAAATCAAGACTGTGGTTGTTGATTTCTCTGGAAACTTGTCAGAGGGGATGCAGAAGATTGAGGAGGCAATCCATGGTTTGGATGTTGGGGTTCTGATAAATAATGTTGGGGTATCATACCCATATGCAAAGTTCTTCCATGAAGTTGATTCTGAGCTTTTGAAGAATTTGATAACCGTTAATGTGGAGGGAACGACTAAGGTTACGCAGGTCGTTCTTCGTGGGATGCTAGAGAGGAAGAGAGGTGCCATTGTTAACTTGGGTTCCGGTGCGGCCATTGTTATACCTTCAGATCCTCTTTACGCTGTGTATGCTGCTACTAAAGCGTGAGTCTCTCTCTCTCTCTCTCTCTCTAGATTCTCTTACACAGTGTTTGCTGCAATGAACCCCTCTGTGTGAAATTTAAATATATCAATTTTAAGGATGTAGTTGTGGTATATGGGATTCAGGTGGAGCTTCTACATCAAAATATTGTATAGTATTTGGATCTGATGATTTAAATCAGCAGTTTTTTTTTTTTTTAATGCTTTCAAATTTAAGAACTTTGCACTGGTTCAGATCTTGTTGTAGTTTTATTTCATGTTAGTCTAATATTACAAAAGCGCTTTTCTTTCTTTTTTTAGAGTTTCAATTTTTTTTTTCTTTTTTTTGGTTCCAATGCTTTTCTTCTTCTTTACTTATTGTTATATTTCTCCTCTGTTGTGTTTCTTTATGTTCCATTTGGTTTTGGAATTTTTTTCAATAGCTACAGAGATAACAATGTATAGTAAAGAAAATAAACAGATGGCTTTCACTGTACTAACTGAGACATTTGGTGAATATCCTCAGATATATTGATCAGTTCTCAAGATGCCTCTTTGTTGAGTACAAAGGAAGGGGAATTGATGTGCAGTGTCAGGTATACTCCTCTTTCGTTAGCAAAGATTTTTGCTTGGCGACTTCAGCTTCTTTTTGTGAGGCTTATAGTGGATTCTTCGTTGAATTTGAAGTTACAAATCTGAATAATTTTGTTCCTTCTTTATGATCTTTATGCTTTGGTGAGTCCTAGCAGATGCTTCTCCCTGAAGTTTAGGAGGCCTCATCTGTTTTTTGATTTTTCTCCTATCATTCCTCATCAGTTTTTCCATTCATTCTGGTTGAGCCTTGTCTTTGAAATCTTTTGGGATGGCTGGCATTAATGTGTGCAAAATGATGGGGTACGTTTTATGTGTTTGGTGTTTCTAACTTCCTATCTAGTTACAAACTAATGTAGAACCAGAGGCTGCCAACATAGACAATTATTAAACAAAAAAGAAAGAAAACAATGTAGAAAAACACCAGGCATGTTGATGTATTTTCTTGAATCTGAAAATTAAAAATATTAGGTTTCTTTGATAATGGGATCGGTTAGGTTGAGTTTTCTGAATTTGATGGGATCTAGTCTCATGATTTGATTCTACGGACCTGATTGATCATGTAGGGACTCGAGACAAACTCGACTGGCATGACTGGCAGTCAAACTATCTATTGTGATATAATGTCATGGAGATGGCTGTGGCTATGCCTGAAAAATACCCTTTAAAAAACATTTTGATAAACTAAGTTTTTGAGTTTTCATAATACCATGTTAATTCCTTGATCTCCAACTTGAATAACATATCTCTAGACTTATATGTTTGCATAATGGACCACACGTTAGTTTCCTTTCCACAGCCTTGCACCCATCCAACTTAATTATGAACCCAAAGTTATGGTTCCATTGAAATCAGACTCGAAAGTCTAATACTTGGTCGATGTGGGCATGTCTATGTAACATACACATGCATGTCTATGGTGTTTGCCATGTCTCAACACCAAAAACACCACACCAGTATTCGATGCAGTAGAAAAATTAGACACTTTCTTTTGTAACATCTCTTATTGAGAAGTGTCACTTAAAAAAGTATAATTGTCACTTAAAATCTCGTCTCCCGTATTTCCTAAATGATATATGGACATGAATTGTGTGGAAGGTCACTTCTGAGGTTAGTGTACCCTTGTCTCTGCAATAAGACTGCCTGATTTTGCTAATCTTACAAATAGAGGCTCATGCTCTTTGCAGGTAGTGAAAAATTCTTGGCATACCTTCATTGTTAGGCTCCTATCATTGTAAATGTGCCTTCTTTTAGCTTTTATGACCTATCATTCAGCTTAGTTGCCATTTTCAGATGAGAATTCTACACTGAAATATTTGTGATGGAAATATTATTACCCGCCCACTTTTCCACCACTTATCCTGGACCCAACCTAGACCTAGTTGTTGAAGATTATGGGGCTTCTAGGTCCCATAGCTATCTCCAATTCTTCAACTTCTGGAACAAAAAATTGGATCTAGTTGAATCAGAATGTGCCCAAAAGTTTGGATGTAGTTGAATCAAAATTTCTGCACCTTAGGTTCGATCAGTGACAGAAAACTTGGCAAGTCCGACGAGTTGCTTGGGCTCTCTTGTCTACCAGATCCTGAACCAAACACAGGGTGCCCTGTCTGGCAAATTTTCAATGTTCTAATAATATTTTTAAAGTACTCATCCAGCTTTGTCAGACTTGACTCGGCCTTGGACCGTGCAAGTTCCTACCCCAGTCCTTGTTTTCCAGTGCTGGGTTGGATAGGTAAGAGGTCTTACAATCTACCTACCATTGGATTTATGGTGACTGTGTCCGTACTCTAAAATGAGGTGCAATGAAGGAGGAATAAAGTCACAATGTTGATTGAGTGCAAGATGCACTCTTATCAAAAAAGATAATTATTCAACAATTTGAAGTAGGACTCTTTGTAGAAATTATAATTTTCAGGGCACAGCGAAGACTTTCATAGCTTCCACTGATGAGAACTCCTTGCACGTTGCTCCCGCAATGCAGTAAAAGCATGAAGCTGATAGCGCTGTCTCTCCCTCTGTAGTATGTCACTATTTTATTCTTTCATGTAAGCTTGGGCCAGTTACGTGCTCATTGATCTTAGATCTTTCTACGAATTGCTAGATCATAGCAAGTCTTCTAATGACAATCTTTACATACTGTTTAGTTTTAGATATTCTTAAGTTTGGCGTTTGTTGTTATTTCTCTTGAATCATAAAGACTTTTTTATAGAAAAATAATTAAGGAATGGCTTCCTAGTTACTCCTAACTTGGCAGCATTACAAGAGAAGGAATAACATGGCCTCCAATGCTTCATGGGGTCCTTGTTTTTCCGTAATACTAAGAAATATGTATGTTGATGATAAATGCTTTTCCCACCTACTAGATGCAAAAAAGATGCCTCTTATCTGGAAGCATGACCTCACTTGCTGAAGCTTTGATGGCTTGAGCTCAAAGCAGTCACCTCTAGGGATTGGACGGTACAACCTAATATGCATATTTTTTACTCTTTCAATGAGAGCATCCTAGCCATGTAACACTACTTTGTAGGCATCCTTAAGTGGGTGTATGTCAATTATCAACCAATTAGTGAAAGTACTCACTGGCATGTAGTGAATGAGAGGGAAACAAATAAAACTATTTGCTGAACAAGCAACACTTCACCTTAGGCCGGAGCATGGTGATATAGTTAGGGTGGTTTCACTTTTTATTTTTATTTTAGGAGATTGAAACTAGGTTATTTTGTCCTTTAGTTTTATAGTTATCTTAGAGGTTTACAGCTTTTTATGGTTGTAGAAAATTAGGTAGCAGAACTGGAAATTTACTCTGGGAAGATGAAGGGCTAGGATTTAACAGCAATTTGGGTTTCTTATTGGTTTACGGGTTTCTCCTTATACATAATTATACTTTTGTAAAGGAAAAATATAAGGAAGAATTTATTTGGGGTCTTGTGGAAGGGTCTTTCGGGTGGATTCCCTTGCAGGCCTAGAGAGGGCCAAATCTTTAACCCTCAGGGTGGACCCCTTTATAGACCCAGAGGATGTCTGTAGTCACTAAATCCTTACCTTTTCTCTGTTTTCACTAAATATTTCCTTGTCTCTCTCTTGTAAATTTACATCACCTGGCAAACGATTTACCTTTCCTCACCAAGTTCACCAAATTGGTCGATATGACCCCTTTCATCCCTGACCCACCTCTTCCAGATTAGATTAACATCACTTTCCGGGATAGAATATCTTCCAATGCTATGCTTAGCCAACTCATTTACAGAAATATCTATGGGACATCTAAAATTTGCATAGTTGTGGTAACTGTAAAGTCTTGAATGATCCTTTATGAAAAATAAAACAATATCAAGTAAAAGTTTTTTTTTTTTTTTTTTTCTTGAGAATCGGTTAACTTTTATATCAAAAAGTTATTGTTAGAATTTTCTCTGTTGGAACAGGTTAACATTATCAAAAATAAAAATAAAAATAAATTCTCTGTAGGAAAATAAGATTATTAGAATTTTCTCTGTTGGAAAATAAGATTGCTCCGTCGTCCTATTCTAATGGAAAATTTGTCCAACATTGATTATAAAAAATAAAAAGTAAAGACTTACAAATAATAAAGTTCATGACAACAAAGATATTCAAGAAAGATAATGTATACAATAAGACCATTTATCTTTTGTACGAGGTCCGAATTACCCTTAGCCATTAGAGGTGAAGTAGGGCAGCTGATGGTGTACTGTTGTCCAGGCTCAAAGTCCAAATCCTTTTCTCGAGCTTTGTAACACACCCTTAACAGCCAGATTTCATATTTGATGGCTGGAGATGTTATCAAATGTAAACGGACTTATGTTATGCATTTCCTTTAAGAAAATTGTTTCTACACATGGCAATTAGAAAAAAAAAATGGCATTACTGATAATCGTAAAATTTCAAGACATTTTTTTATCTAGGAAAGAACTAGAGCTGACCTGAATTTTGAAACTTGTACGATCATCATATCTAAGGGTTCCTTGTGAAGTTGTGAATATAGAGGCGAGGCCTCAACAGGGTGGATTCCTTATCACATTATTTGTCTAACGTGCTGGGGAAACATCTGAGTGGAATCTTTATGGGTGCTAGTGCTATGGGACATGTTAAAGGCTTTTGAGATTAAGAGGGAAATCCATGGGCAGTATTTAGAATGTGCTAATGATGTACCTGGTCTCTGTGGACACCTTGGTGGGGCAAGTGGAGCCCAAAGTTCATATTGGGCTTATGCAGTAACCTGCCCTATTTGAAGCTTAACTTCAATACTCTAGATGCTTCTCTAAGAGGGGACTAATTGAGGAGGTAAAATTATTTAGCCTGCCATCAGGATGAAACTTCTGATATTTTGGGGTTCTGTTTGTGACCTTAGGTATCCAAATAAGGAGCAATGGGTTTGTTATTAAAGTAAGGTATCCAAGAGGTGGACTAATGGAAAACTGCTCTTTGGGATATTTTTTCCAATTTTTACTGCGAATTTAGACTTATCCAATTTGTCATAATTTGGAAAAGGGCCAATTTATGTACTGTAAAGTAGCTTTTGGTCATTATGCATCCTACACTTGGTAGATCTGGTAGACAAGCACTTACCCAAAAAAAAGATCTGGTAGACAAGCACTTGCTTGTGAGTTCTCTTTCTTAGGCTTTCCCTTATTGGGATGGAATTGGATGATTTTTCATGGATTTGGTGTTTTTGCTAATTTTGTTATCCACTAATGCCCTATGAAATGGATGAGCATGCAATGTGGTCATTGCACTGCTCGTGAACCACCTAATGGAAGATGGGGGGGGGGGGGGGAGGGGAACAATGCATGAACTCGGTTTTTAGTAAAGTGGAACTGAACCTGTACATGTCCTCGGCAAGTTCTGCATTTCTCTACATCCTTATGTGTTCCATCGTACAGTAGCATGAAATATGGTTGATTCCCAGTGAGATCTTTTCAGTGATTATTTATGCCTGTTGTTTCACATCCCAACAGTGATGCCGATTAAACTTGAAAATGTTCTGTATTTGTTCTATACCGACAGCATTTCGCATTTAATTTCAGCACATTGTATCGATTTCTTTTAGAAAGATTTCCATTCTATTTCTCACAACTGGGCTCCAAATTTTACCCTAACAAATACCATACTTTGATATCTTTCATATCTGAAGTTATGCTCGTCCAAAACACATATCAATTTGCTAATGTTGAGACATTTTTGAGTTGGGTCTTTTTGTACTGGCTTGACTTAGCCCTCATTATGTGCTCTTAAACAGGTTCCCTTGTACGTGGCCACCAAAATGGCATCGATCAGGAGATCTTCCTTCTTTGTTCCATCTGCTGACGGCTATGCTAGAGCTGCTCTTCGTTGGATTGGGTATGAACCGAGGTGTACTCCTTATGGGCCTCACTCTGTTCTCTGGTGGCTGCTTGATTCTTTGCCTGAGAGCGTCGTCGATAACTGGCGCCTGGGTTTCTGCCTCAAGATTCGTAAGAAGGGTCAGCAAAAGGATTCAGGGAAGAAGGAATAGAAAGCACACTGATGGATCCAAATATTTTCTTGTAAGTTGATGGATCCCTAGTGGCTTAAAGAGACATCTTTGGCTCTTGTCAGGTGTTTAGCAAACTAAGTTGTATGTAGCATTATTTCTTCGACTCGTAGTTTCTCTTAGCTGATGTTTTAGTGAGAACTCATGAAATCTGTGGTGGGTTTGTGGAGAACCCACTTATTTTAGTGAGAAATTATATTTTTGGGAATTTTTCGAGTTTTTCTGCTACAGTGCTCTTGCATAGCATTTCCTTTTTATATTTCAGAGCTTTCTATTGAGGTGGATTTGCCTTCTTCTTATTCCTTTTGTATTAGTTTCTAGAATTGTGGAATTTGGAAATCTTCATTTATGAAAATGCAACTTCTTGATATTAACCACTGAGAAAAGGATTGCAATCATCTTGAGATTCTCTGATAAGGTTGGTTTTGTCCATGTTAATGATTTTCATACAACGTTTTTTTTTTGCTCTTTTTTTTTTCCATATTTATCTTGCATTCCTTCCCAATTGCTCTGATATATGGGAAAAGAAATTTATCTCAGTTGACGACTACATAGGTGCTCCTTGGAGAAGGATGACTATGAACTATTTAATATGCACAAGTTTTGAAGCTTGGCATAACGCAATGTTAAAATAATGGATCGGTGTTACGGATCAGCCATCCGGAAAACTGATCTAGATAGGTGGATTGGCAGTTTGGATCGGTGGACCGGCCAATTCAGCGGATCTGGTCTTAGAAAAGAAAAAAAGAAAATCACTAAAATTTGTTATAAATGATGTTATTGGTTTTTCAAGAAAAGAAAGGGGTAATGCTTTGTGAATTTTCCTTATTTTGAAAAAATATGTGAATATTGAGGTGTCATTTCTTATTTGAATATCTAACCATTACATTCACATTTACATCTTGGATTTGAATACATAGTTCATAACGAAGCCTACGATTCTAAAAATATAATCTAATACCAAGAGAGTAAGTTTTTATGAATAAATTTATACATTCTTTGGAAAAGATATTACAATTTTCAAAATATAATTATAATTGACCATTTTTAAAAAATATATACCAAGTTACAAATTATTAATTTGTATTAGATATGATAATAACATTTTTAATATAACAATAACAATTCCATATAATTTATAACACTAACAATGCAAATATATTTGTAAGTTATAAAAGGAACTGGGATTTGAGAATTTAAATGTAATTTGTAACAATAACTTCTCTTTATTTATATCCATAGATGTGTATTTGCCGAAGTTTCTAATGGTGCTGTAGTTATTAGAAAAATGTACGTGCATATCCCAGAATTTTCCCATTGTTAAAAGACTCCCTTTGAATGTTTATTTTTTTTGGATAAATTAGTGGGGAAGATATGCCCCTATTTTTTTTTTCCAATAGATTAGGGAGTTACATTTTGAAGGTGTTAATGGTAGGAATGGATACCACAATACGATAACACTTTTGAATTTTACCATTCAAAGCCAAACTTTTTATTTTCTGTATTTGCTCCAAAACGACTCCTATTTTGGATCTTGAAAATCTAAAATTTTTTAAAAGTGAAAAGTTTGGGCGTTGGAGGGAACCTTAACCACATTATTAAAAAGTACCCTTATTTCCGACCCTGAAAGTTTGAAATTTTACAATAGATTTTTTTTTAAAAAAAATAAAAGATTCATGATCATGGAAATTTGGATTTTCAACATCTAAAATTTCCAATCCGAAAATCAGACTGAAATTTCACTAATTCAGACTAACTGCTTTTGGATTTTAAATATAACTTCATTCCCAAAATGTTCATTCTCATATTTGAAATGGGCCAATTTGGTCATTTTAAAAAAATAAAAGTATATAAAGAAACTATTTATGTTTTAGTACTAGAAGGTCATAATCAATTTTGCAAGTCACACTTTAAATTGAATGATTGTACCTCATTGGCTAGATTCTTAGTTAAAATAAAGTTTTCTCGTATTTCGTGGCACACCCCAAGCTATCCAATTTGACATATATGAGCTAAAAGTGATTGTGACCTCCTCACAATAATGGTAAATGGTCTCATTGTATACAATCTCCAAAAAATAATAATGTAGTAATAGAAGAATTTAGATAAATTTTAAATAACAAAAATAATAGGACTAATATGTATGAATGGGCAATGATTTCATGCAACTGTTGTACAGTAATATGATGCAACAACCTTAAAAAACCATCTTATAGCCATTTGTTTGATCCAAATTTAGAAATATACACTCTTTTCATTCTAATGAACAATCACAAAAAAAGAAAAATTTGAAAACACAACCTAAAAAGTATTTTTTTAGCCCAATTAATGTAGTCATTCATTTGGTGAGATGC